CTTCATAACTTTGTAATTGGATAAGAAAGTCGGGGAAATTCGCGCAAGGTAATTAGGAAGACAAAAGCATGGAGCAAGGTGAGGGGTATTTTAGGAGTTATAAGGGTTTTTCAAGGGTCATTTAGTCATTTCGTATATACTTATGGGCTAACCAACTATAGGCCCAGATGCTAGGCTTTGAAATGGCTTAGCGATCCTCCGAGCTAGTAGACACGGCGAAGTCATGGCGGCGAGCGAGAACTCAACGGGACTGGACTCGCCGGAGACGGAGGCACAGTACTTTCATGCCCTCTCTGCTTTCCTCGCCATGGAACCGGTGGATTCTGTCATCACTCTTGCGAGGTATACCACCATCTCTTCCGCCGCCGCCGCGAGCTTCTTCCATTTTTCCGGCGTTTGATTTTGCTTCTCAATATCCCTTTTTTGTAGAGAGTGCACCGGAGGATTAATCACTGACAGGGCCCAGAAATTTTTCTGGGAAATTTGCGTAAAGGCTGTAAGTAAATTCTACTGTTCTGCTCTGCTCGGAATAGTGCTAGAAAAATTTGAAAGCTTTTTTGCTAAGATTTTGTTGTAAAATCACTTTTTTGGGACTTACTATTGTTCGTCAAACTAGCTTATGAACACATCTTAGTATTCAGTTTTCTCCGGAGTAATGAATCTTCCTGAAATACTATGCATATCTTCGGTGCAGTCTGCGAATGGTAACGCATCATACGCAAAAAAGTTACTGAAGAAACTCATAAATGAAGTTGAGTTGGAGAATGGTGAAGTATTGGATCAAGTGTATGAAGAGTATGCTCTTTACATGTCAACTTCTAAGGTATTATTGAAGTTTCCTTGTTTCTCGTAATTGATTGAAACAAAAACTAAGCTTGGTTGGAGTTTTAGGATGATACATTGGTGAAAGAAAGCACAAGGATCACTAAATTCATTTCTTTTCTTTTCCCAGAAGGTAAAATCTCGTCTTTGCTATGTATTTTGGTTCATTGTTCATGTTTGTGGACTCATCTGTAGATTATTATTTGTAGGTTCATACAAACACCCGAGTTGTCCAAGCTCGAGGAAATTAGTTATTCCGCTGCAGTGTTCATTGAACATGCTTGAAGGAGATACAGGGTAAGAGTCTTTTATATAATCATTTGACTTTCACAGATTCATTTCTATGCAAGAGTCACTTTCTACATTGCTCACCTTGAATCATGGATTTCGACCAGGTGTTCCATCTGGCCATCAAGTCTGTTTCTGTCAGAGTTTATTCTGTCATGTCCAGACTTATTTGCCGATAAATCCTGTTTTGAGGTTAGTTTGTCATCATGAAGTTAAATAGCCGATCACGTTTTTCGTTCTGATCTATTATGGCCACTTTTTGATTTGATGGAGCTCTGTTTAGGTTGGTTCTGGAGTTGGTATGGTCGGAGTTTGTCTCGCACATGTAAAGGCCAAGAAGGTATGCGTATTTATTACCAAATTTCTCATCAGAATTACAAAACTATGTTGAGTCACAAATTTTTCTTCTGCAGGTGATACTAACAGATGGAGATCTTTTAACTCTGGCTAACATGAAGCTTAATTTAGAGATGAATCGCTTAAACTGTGATGATGAGTTGCCTAAACAACCCGGAGAAGCTCAGAGTACAGTGAGTAGGAAATAAATTTCTTTGTGCTTTCTGATTCAGAGTATAGATGATACACTTACTGATTGAAGATCGTTTCTTTTTCCTCTAACAGCGAGTTAAATGCATTCATCTTCCGTGGGAAACTGCATCGGAAAGTGAACTAAGCAAATATCGTCCAGATATTGTGTGAGTGAGCCGTGAATTATTTGGCAGTTGATGTTGCTTATGGACTATCGCTTACGTTCTTATCAGTATAGGTGCAGATGTAATCTATGATCCATCATGTCTCCCTCATCTACTTCGGGTTCTTGTAGCCCTTTTAAGGAAACCACTCAAAAGAGACAATGGCTCTCTCGAGACTGAAGACAGAGATGCAGCCCAACAAGGACGCACCCCCGTGGTGGCTTACATTGCATCTGTAATCCGCAATGCAGACACTTTCAATGCGTTCTTGACACTTGTGGATCAAATGGACCTTTCCATCACTGATGTGACCGAAGAACTTACCCCTCACTTTGAGCTTTTACCGTATATGCATTCGTATGACCGCTCAAGCGTCCGGCTCTTCTCCATATCCTCCAGATAATGAGTTTGGTGGTTGAAATCGCGGTGAGCGTTTCATGTGGTTGTGGAAACGTGAAAAAGGGTTTCACAATACAACCGATAAATGCCTTCAGTGGTGACCGCTATAAAAGCATCTACAGCTTCTAATCTCTACTTCACATAGTTTGGATTTAGGAAAACCTATCATCTACATTTCTATATTTCTATTGGAAAAAAATGCCACTCCTGTTCTGTGACAGTGATCGGATTTCATTGTCGATATAAATTATTTGATTATGGTTTCAAAGAAATTGGGGAATCTCGATGTGGCAAAAGATAAGATAAGATGCTTCAAGGTTAAACTACGTAATCGAGAACTTATTATCGGCTAAATTTTGGAAATTTCTATCTTTCCCAAAAGTGAAAAATTATCATTTTTACATGAATCCAAGATTCTGTGGTGTGGTTCTTGTTATATAATAATACAGAGAAACACGACCAGTTTTACTGGAAGTTGCGTGTAGTGATCACAGAGCGAAGTGTCTCCGTTCGATTTCAAAGCGATCATCTTTAATGGCGGAAGCAGAGGTCATTCACTCATGGTCTGCTCCAAGATCACTCAGCACCACTCTCATGTATTCCTTTGCCCAGGTACTTTTTTCTTACTTTACTGAGAGATGGAAGAGAAAACACTCCAATCAAATCAACTGCTGTTTTATGAAAATCCATGAGAGTGCTGCTGATTGATCCAAAAATTTTGTTTGAAAATCCACATTTTTTTGTCTGAGTCCCATCTTCTGGGCACTAGAGATACAGTTTTCCTGTAGATTGATTGGGAGAAAGTTCTTGGCTGCAGAACATGTATTGAGTCCCATTGTTGAACAGTTCTGAATAAAAGTTATAGCATTTGAATCACTGTGAAACTTTGTTTGGTGTGAATTGTAACTTGAAAGATGTTTTGGTTTAAATGACTCAGAGAGATGACATTGAAGTGCTTGACGAGCCATTATACGCTGCTTTCGTCAAGGCTACGGGTGTTGATAGGCCATACAGAGATGAGCTTCTCTCCAAGATGGTTTGTTAAATTCACGGTTATCAATTTAGGTTTCGAGATATTAAGGCAATGCTTAGCGTATTCTTTGAGTAGAAAGATATAATCATCGCATTTTCTAATAGGAGTGCGATGGAGAAAAGGTGGTGAAAGACATCATTTATGGATCAGGAAAGAAAAAATATAGGTTTTGTAAGGTTATACTCACTTCTCTTTCTGGTTTGGAGGCTTCAGTTTTGTTCTATATCGCGCTATGTTTGGGACAAAATTGTGATTCTTGTTGTGTTTATGCCCCTTCTCTGCACAGCATATATCGAAGCAGCGACTTCTTGGTTTGCCAAGTGAACTAATGAGTAAAGGAAAACACTTTCTATTGATACGCAATCCCCTTAACATACTGGTAAGCTTATCAAGCTCACTTCAGGTGTTATGTTTTCTTGGAGATTCTTCGGAAGTTGTTTGTCTCGAGTCTCTTGACATTATGGGCCTGATCATTTTTTGTGTTTTCTTACAGCCTTCGTTTGAGAAGATACATCTGTTATCGTTTCATGAATTGGGGTTGGGAGAGTTAGTTTCGATATACCACCAGCAATCATTGATGCAGATGACCTTCAGCGAGATCCTGAGGTTTCAATTCTATATACAAACATTAAACAAAGGAACCCATTTCTCTTATAATTGGTGTTGCTTTATGATCTGTGTCACTCATCGATTTCCAGGCTACATTACGTGGTCTTTGCGATGACTTGGAGATCCCGTTTCAAGCCTCTATGCTTAAGTAAGACTCTCTAGCTCTTGGATTTTGATGGTAAGCGGTGAAACAATGACCGTATTTTCATTGCTTGTGTTTTCTTGAAGATGGGAGGCTGGTCCTATACCAGAAGACGGACTTTGGGCTCCATGGTGGTAAAGACTCTTCACAAGTCAACGGGTTTTTCGTCTCCGAGGAAATACCCTCATGTAGGGGCCCGGTTTTACTGCAGTTAGAGATTCTGGAACTAAAACATCATTGAAACTACAATGTGTTTTGTATTGTTTTCAGACGTTCCCTTTGAGGCATTATGATTTGCTGGAGCAATGTTTACCGCTATACAACATTCTCAAGCGCCATGTGAAGCGCACATCATCCCTCTTGAGCAGCACATTGACTCCTCCCAATCTCCCGGTTCCTGAAAATGCTAAACTTCTTGCTTGGGTTGGTGACGAGATTGTGCCACGTGAGATGGGAAAGGTGCTTGAACCATACATGGATTTCTGTTTGTTATGTTTCTGCTTTGAAATCTGATGTTATCTGTCTTTAAATCTTGTTTAAGGTTTCTGTTTTTGACTCGGTCGTGCAAGGTGGTGATTCTGTATGGGAAGGTCTTCGAATATACAAAGGGAAAGTATTCAAGCTTGAGGAACATCTAGATCGGTAAGAACTGTCAACGAAAAGCCAAGAGAAAAAACCAAGATCTTCGTCTAAGCAGTCTTATTACTTATATATTTGTTGTTATGTTGCATTAGGTTGTTTGATTCAGCAAAGGCCTTAGCTTTCATCAATGTTCCAACCAGTGAGGAGGTAAGCATTTGGTAAAGATAAAATCATTGTCATAGTTTGATCTTTCTTTTTGTTTCGAACTTTTGAATGAAGCTATCACAATGGCGTTATCATGAAAATTGCGCAGATAAAAGAAGCCATCTTCAGAACTCTCATAATTAATGGGATGTTTGACAATACGCATATAAGACTGTCTCTAACTCGAGGCAAAAAGGTATTAATTACACTTTTACCGAGTTCATTAAGTAATTATATGCACAGAGAAGCTTCTTTCCGTTTTCATTTTAAACCCATCAAGCTATGAATATGTTTCTTGTTAGGTCACTTCTGGAATGAGCCCTGCATTTAACCGTTATGGATGTACTTTGATCGGTAAAGTTTCAGATTTGTCTCTTGCAAGCATACAACTAAAGTCTGTGGAATAGGGTTTTGGCATGAAAAATTTTGTTAGTATTATTTTATTTTATTTTCAAAATAATGTAGTCCTTGCCGAATGGAGGCCTCCGGTATATGACAACGATGGTGGAATTGTGCTGGTGACTGCAACAACACGCCGCAACTCACCCAACGTATATATTTTGTCACATATCTCTTTCGTCTATATAGTTGAGAAATACATTTAGTCAAAAGTGTTATTTTCCATTGTTGTTTATTCTCTTTTTCGTTTCTTTTGTTTCTCAGAATTTAGATTCCAAGATTCATCACAAAAACCTCCTCAATAACATACTCGCAAAGGTTCTATCTTTTTCCCGTGTCAATTGGAATCTGTGATCGTAGGTTCTTAGGGACATCATTGTTAGATGTTTCACTGTAATAATGACTCAGATTGAAAGCAACAACGCCAACGTGGATGATGCAATCATGCTTGACAAAGATGGCTATGTATCTGAAACCAATTCTACCAACATTGTAAGATCCTCAAGAGGCTCGGAGAGAACATTTTACTCATGGATCTCTGTGTTTTGCGTTTGAAACCTAATGATGGAGGAACTCTGTTGGTGCAGTTCATGGTGAAAAAAGGCCGAGTTCTCACTCCTCACGCAGATTACTGTCTCCCGGGCATTACTCGAGCTACTGTAAGTGAGAAGAAGATTGACACTGTTTCTTCTACCATATTTCAGTGACTAAAACATGACCAATCTTATTTTTCTCATCACGCTTCAGGTCATGGAACTGGTGGTTGAAGAAAACTTCATCGTAGAAGAACGAAGAATCAGCTTGTCGGAATTCCATACAGCTGATGAGGTTTCCTCATCTTTTCCTGAATCTTAGAAACTTAGAATATCAATAACAATTTTATGTATTTTCATTCATAATGAAAAATTCCAGGTCTGGACTACAGGAACTATGGGAGAACTCAGCCCGGTACATACGCAATCTTTACTATACAGTTAGGGAATGTTGTGATTCCAAAACATATAAGATAAAAAAAACTCGATATTTTGAGTAAAATCCTTATTATAGTAAATGTAAAATTTTGTAGAGCACATTCTGGTTTGTTTAATGTTACTTATTTATCAGAGTTGATTGCTATATAGGTTGTGAAAATTGATGGGCGTGTGATTGGTGAAGGAAAAGTAGGAACGGTAACAAGAAGATTGCAAAGTGCTTACAAGAAACCGACTGATGGTTCGGGCGTGCCAATACCTACTTACCAAGAACCCTAAACCATACGCTGGTTTGATCGTAGAACACAAAAGGTAATCTACGTTGCTAAATGTGGTCAAATAGATTCTTGGGTATGAATCACAAACATTAGCTTAAGCAAAATGCAAGGAGACTTGACTGGGAAATAGAAAAGAAAAAAGTTTTGAACTTGGATCGAATTCATTGGTCCAACTCTAACTAGAACGTTGAACAAAAGGAAC